CAGCGTCCCCTGTGTCCCCCCGTGTACACCTGTCCTCTGTGTCCCCTCTGTGTCCCACAGTGTCCCACACTGGCCACTGTGGCCTCTTTTCTCCATGGTCCCCCTGGCTCAGGCCCTGGCACTGCTGACAATGACCATGTCCACTGCGGCCATCAAGGTGGTGCCCCTGGACATGGCCCACAACTCCTCTGATGACCAGTACCTCAACTGTGGCCCTGCCATGACTGAGGCCTTGCTGGCCCTCAATGGCTCTGAGTTCCAGGAGAACAAGGAGTTTTCCCAGGCCTGGGTGAAGGCCACGGCCGAGTGGCAGAAGCGGGGCTCCTCCTCATCCCCTCTGTCCCCAGCCCAGGCCATCGCCCTCATGGCCTACACAATGGGGGACGTGCACAAGCAGCTCAACCCGGCCGTGCGCGAGGCTGGGCGCTCCCGCCAGGAATAACGGGACAACTTCCACTTCAAAACGCTGCATTTCCTGCTGATCCAGGCCCTCCAGAAGCTGAGACACCCTCATGAGTGTCCAGATGTGTTCCGTGGGGTGAGGACGGTCCAGTTCAATGTGACACCTGGCGATAAAGTCCGCTTTGGTCAATTCACTTTTTCGTCGCTGGACAAAATGGTGGCCCAGTGTTATGGGACAGGCACAATGTTTGAGGTGCACACGTGCCATGGAGCAGACATCCAGAAGTTCTCCTTCAATCAAAGTGAGAAGGAGGTGCTGATCCCGCCCTGCGAGACCTTTGAGGTCACCAAAGTCACCAGGGAAGGGAAGAAGGTGCAGATTGTGCTTCGCTCCACTGGGAACTTCAGCAACTACAACTGCGAGTGGTTGCAAGGTGACATCATGGGAACAACCTGGGGGGATGGGGACACTCAGAGAGGGTTGGGGACAAGGACACATGGTGCTGGAGACACCCATGACCCAGAGGGGACAGGGACACCCACTGGGGATGGGAGGCAGGACACCCAGAGCTGGGGACAAGGTCAGGGACAGCACTGTTTGGGCACAGGGGTTGGGGACACCCAGTGCCAGGTGAGGGGGACAGGGACATCCAGTGCTGG